CATTACTTGGATAAAAACATGTATCAATAAATATTCCTACCTTGAGAATCGACATAACATGCACATTCAAATCTTACACGAACAGACTCATCTGCACACTTATAAAGCTCTATAAGACAACATTAGAGTCGATGCTGGCAGCATTAACTTTCAACAAACTAAACCTGCTCATACGCTTCTCTATTTGCCCAACCACATATATAAACAAAGCCTACATGAACCCATTCTCCCTAACACACACTGGAATTGTAGAACATACAAATCATCTAATTAACTGAGGAACAGATGAACCCATTCTCCCTAACACACAGTGGAATTGTAGAACATACAAATGATCTAATTAACAGAGGAACAACATACAAAAGGAACCCAAGATGGTTTTCCTCTAGGCTTGCGCTTCTCAATCTTAAGGCTATCGACTGGCATCCTTGCAGGGGAGTTCCACACCTCGTTAGCCTTATTCTCAGAGGCTGGGGGATTCTTACCCATCTCAGAGGGTGCAGTCTCAACGTGCATGTCGGGTTGGTCTTGTGGGGGTGGGCTTTTATTCTTGATCTCCATGTTTGCTTCATTTAAGAGGCTTCTCAATGGGGTGTGGGATTTGCTCGTGCTCCAATTAGTTACCTTTGCAATGATCTCTTCATTCTTCTTCCTTCCCTCTGAATCTTTGACAACTTGAGTAAGTGAAGGGAACCAACCAGCTTGTGAGTCCTGGGAACCCTGGGGCTTCGTGGGTTGGATTTCAGCAGTTGTGGTGGGGTCATCATTTCCCCTTCCAGGTTCAACCAGCGTCATAAAAGAAGGCGCATCAAAGACATATGTCGTATTAGGATTTCCTTGGGCCACCTTTAGATTAGCCTTGGCATCTGAGACATTTGATGCTGCAGCTTCCTTTTCGATTGGGATATCTTGTGTTGATGGCTCTGTAATCAAATGTATCCATGGAATTAGTTTGTGACATATGCAACAAATTCCGGTACAAGGAAGTTCTCTAATTCATGTTAATCGATACTATCACAGATGTACACCAGAATGCTTACCATTTGGGATAAAATTCAAGGTTCAATTCTGGACCAACCTCATGCAATCTGGATGTCTAACACTAGAACAAAAACTAAAGAAGTAATAAATGTAGTCATAACATATTTGTAAATAGAAAGGGAACGGATTGAGGATCCTAAACATCATAAGTCTATCATCTCAATCTCCATGATCATGAATATGTAAAAAATTTGAATTTTGAGCCCAAACATGCTCCATTTTGTACCCTTTTTTTAGACTGGTTATTCCAATTTGTCATAAATCATCAGTTCCACAGTATTTTTCGAGCTCTAAATTCATGGATCTGAAGCAGAAATGGATGTGCAGTGATTTAAGTTGAGTTTCAGGCCCTAAAACCCCTAAAAAGCAGGGCAAACATAAGTCGCAGACTCATCAAAAACTTTTCCTATAACTAAAAGCCAATTTCACATGCAGATATGGGAAAAAAAAAAAAGATGATGCAAAAATAACAAAAAAGGGGCATAATATAAAGATAAAGCAATGAGTTTGACTGAATTATTGATGAAAAATTAAAGATATGGTATGGCCAATTCTCTTAACAACAAAAGAATGAGATCACTTGGATGCTTCTCTGGTGGTTAGAAGAGCTTAGACCAATCAACCATCAAAAGAATGCTTATTTAATAAGCAAATGAAATGGATAGATTGTTTGGATGAGCAGCTGATTCAGTACGGCAATCATTTGGAGCAGCAAAACATTAGAAACTGGGTTGAGCTTAGCCTTTCCAAGTAGATAAGAAGTCATAGAAATTTCTTACGAGGAAAAGGAAATTGCATTACTAAGGAATACAAAAACAATGCACCTATAACATGGAGATACCCCAGAATTATCCCAAGGAAAACAGGAAAGTGCATCATAATCCAATGGTCAATTTAAAAACCATAGTCCACTGTACCATTATTGGCTGTTGAATGCCGGACATAGATGAAAAGAGAATGGGACTCTCGATTGTGGTCAATTGGGTCCCTGTATCTCTCCAATCATCAACCATCATTTCAAAGGAGAAAGATAGCCCAATAGAGCATATTTTTCCATAATCCATAGCATTGCAATATACCTTCCAGTCAGTCGAGATCCTGAAAAAACTACAACCTGGATCCTGAAAAAACTACAACCTGAAGTATGCAAAAAATGTACAAAAAGGGAATAAATGGATCATTCTGATCCCCGATGCCAAATACAATTCAATGGATTTCAGCAAAATTTAGGAAAAACAAACATGAAAAGAGGAAAATACGTCATCCAAGTCCTTAGAGCTTGATGGGTATCAAGATAAGATGTTTACAGTCGACACGAGTTTCTGGTTCACATAAAATATTAAGACATAGTTACCCAGGGCAGAAGCTAAAAAAGCTCTAGGATTGGGAGCGGAAGCGCGGAGCAAGAAAGCTGTAAAGTTCTGTGGTCAATGGAACGAGTTCCACACATGGGCAAATGTAGAGATCGAGATCCCCAACTTTTAGGGGTCGAGTTCCATATATGCAATGAAGCGGATCCTTTACGGGATGGGATCATGTTCCATAGTGTTAGGATCGAGGTTCCCAAAGCTCAATTATCCACTATATTGTAATTTGGGAGCGAGGTTCATTTAACAGTATTTTTAATTTTCCTTACAAACCTAAGTATCAATGTAAACAAGAACCACGTCATTGAAAATCTCTTGGACCTTTTGTTATTAATGGAGTAAGATTTCACAAATGAATTGTGATACTAAAAAGCCAATATGGTGATGCAATACCTAATAAGTCCTTGGGCACGAATGGAGCCTTGTGTCCTCAGCAATCTCTCTCTCTCTCTCTCTCATCAACTGGCAAAGAGATACATTCATTGGGGACTTTTATGGACACTTATTCTCATCAAATTCCTTAGGGAATATTGTAGTCCATATCCCTCTTAGCATGGTCAAGAATAAACTCTAAAAACTCCCCTAATGTAGGTGCACTGAAACCAGTGCAAAAAACCAGGAATAGAGAGGAAGCATTTCTCAGAGGCAATCTTACACTTTCAATGAAGGAGCCCCTTTTCATCGACCAAATTCAACACAAATCCTGTTTGTGGTGTATTGTACCATCTTAATTCATACAATATCTTCTCCCTCCTTGCCATCTCTTGTTGCCTTTTTTCGAAACTAGACACAAGTCGCAACTCACAAGATGTGTAAAGTTGTGAATTGTAAAATATATAGGAAATCATGGCATAAAAGTTTGTATGTTATATAAAAATGGATTCAAACTCCATTTTATATGAATAAAAAATATGCCATTGAAACTCGCAGCCAAAGCATGGGATACTCAATTCACTTTTGGTGGAATCACGGTTCTCCTTACTCATGAAAGATGGTTTTTGGTACAGGGATATGGGTCCCATTAACATATGATATATAGCCCAGGCCTAAGCTTCGGTTTTGTCTTTAATCTTCAAAGTGTTGGTTCTTTCTTAACTAGGAACTTAAGTTCTCCTCAACAAGGACACAATAATTAACTTTTCTTTTACCTCCTTAAAAAAGGCCAAGTAGAAAAATTAGCATCTGAACATCACATGGCCATGACGAGCCAACTAGTTTCAATGAAGGACGAGACCTTAAGCTTGTTTTAACATATCTCAATATTTTGCAAAAAAGATCGAGTTGAATCCTGGAAAAATTAGCTCATTATATGAAATGCAAGTGTAGCATCGTATTAGGTGATTGAAAGCTATATGAAAGCACCACCAACAAGTCTATAATCTTACTTAGCATTATCCAGCAAAATCTGCAAAAGCTACGAATGAGTCTCTGATATTTGTTGGCAATATTCAGCAGTTTGCAAAAACAAATGTGAACAACGAATTATTTTACTTGGTGAAAAAATCACAAGGCCTTCCCCTAAACGTTCCCCTTTATGCAAGAGATACATCGCATCATCTGATCAACCACTTCTCCTCTTAGGAAGTCTTGTAATATCCTAAGAAATTAGAACCTAAACTTGTCATAGGTGCACTGCTACAAATGTGCTATTCAGGATAATCGGTATAATCCTACTTACAAAAAGACCAAGAAAAGACTTGCTTTCCAAAATCAGTATGAGATACTGCCCACTGGATTTCACAAACCAGGATGTAGGAGTTCTTCGACTTGCAAACCATATTTACTTCTCCCAGTGGAATGAAAAACTGGAGGAAAAACCCCATAAGCATCTACATGTAAGTCATGCTGCAAGAATTCATCTTTCTCTCCAGCTTGTAACCAAGCCCCATAATATCAATTGTGGATAAATCTTATGGATATTATCTTGAGTTCTTGATAACAGAACTAAACCTCCATGACAATCCCTTCCACCTATGGGTGGCCTTTTGCTATAATAAGTGCTTTAATCCCTCAACTCCTCCATCAGCTAGACACTTTGCAGAATCCATTTAGCAACCAAAGGCTTGTTTAGGAAATCCATGAAAATTTCTTCTCGAGAGCCTCTTAATTTGAAGGTTAACTAGCATGTTTTGCTTCATGTAAACTTTACAAAACTGTAATGTCTAAATGTGTACACAACTGCCTATACAAAATGTGCACTACAGAGTCCTACAAAGCACTAAATGATATTGTTAGAGAAGATAACAGCAGAGCTTCGAGACCCTCCTTTTGCAAGAGTTCACTAATTGGTTAGATTCTTGCCATATATGGGAGAAGAATGGAAATGCTCTGGGTAGTCAAACACTTCAATCACCAACAGCCCCCCAAAAGGATATAGCTTATCCCATTAAGAAGTGTACGAGCCTCTGCTGTTGTTGCATCAAATATACCAGCATTCCCAAATAGGAAAATACTGAGATGAACTCTAAAACATCCCCAAGCTCAGCTCGACCAGGATTGCCAGAAAGTGGAACTTGAGATAGACGAATCCATTTAGGAGAGTGAGCCTTGGAATTAGAGGTTTTGCAGCACACTACTATTTTCCAATTGCTCAAGAGGTCAAGTGCCAAAGTACCCCAGAATTCTTTCTTAACTCCTGGCCAATTCATGACATTGGCCTTGATGGTGGGTGTAGATCAAGGCGCACTTGGTAATGTAGCGACCTTCAAATATTTGCTGATTGAGCTCTAACCAAACAGCCCAAAGAATTGCTAAAATGTTAATGTGCTATGGCAGATTAACACTTTGGAGAAAGGGCCGTATGAACCAGGAATGAAAAGGCAATTTATTGAGGCCGTAGAGCATCCATTTGTATGTCAAATAGCTCCAAGAAGTGAAGCAAGATCTCCGACCACACTATGCAGGAACAGGTGTTGAACTGACCTGGCGTCACATTTGGATAACCTATCTCCTCAGTGTATTATATGATCAATGGGGTGATACCTTATCATAGCCTAATGATATATAGTTGCATGATATTGCATATATAATATCGCCATTATCGGGTGCTAGAAGCACAGTTCTTGGCCACATCATCTTCATATTCCTCTGCTCCACTCCTAACAAATCAATTAGTATGCTTCTCAACATTCACGTTTTCCATCTCTCCAATAAACCCCCTAATCTCCATCCTTATGACCTCTGATCCATTCTCTCTCTTCTCCCTGATTCATCTTCACTCATGCCTCTATTCAACTCTTCAACATCTACTGGAATAGGAGGGAACACTTCGATTTCACACCACTAAGATACTATAATTACATGGTATCTTGGAAACCTCTCCTTTTACAAGTAAACCATATCCAAACCCCTTCTTTCACTGCTTCACGAGCTGGACATTCATCGACAACTTTTTATACCTCTCATTACCTCCAAGAAGCCCATTCAAGTGAGGGAACCTCCATACTTAATCCTCATTTAAGTCCTTTTTCTTTTTTTGGTTGATAACACAAGTCTAGCTATTGTACCAAATTTTTTCATGAGAGAAAATTGCCATCATCTCAACTTTCTCACCAGTTATTTATCTCTCAAGACAAATTTGTTCTCTGTTGTTTCAGTTTTCTTTCTTCAACAAAACCTCCAAACTCAATTCTCTCACGGAATCCAAGAACATTACTGAGAGTGTTGTTATCTCTATGCGTCTTGAGGGAAAGAACTACGGTTTGTGGTCTTTTTACATGCAACACTTTCTCATGAGAAGAAAGTTCAGGGAGTATGTCAATGGGTCTATTCCCAAGCCTACCAATGAAAATGGGTGCACCAATTGGCTTGTCATATATAGTTGTGTTGCCACATGGATTATGAATTCACTTTAGCACAAAAATGGGCACAATCTCACATATCAGCCTAGTCCAAAAGCCATGTGGGATAGCTTAAAGAAGATTTACTCTCAAACAAATACTGCTCATCTGTATACACATGAAAAAGCAAGTACAAAGACATAAAAAGGAAACTTATTTGTTCAAGACTACTTTGATACTCTCTTAGCAAAACAAATGGACCTGATAGAGATTGAGAGACCTACCAAGGCCATGAAATCCCTCTCGTCTATTCCACTACCTTGTCAAAAGCATGAAAGCACCAATTATTCATCGTACACCCACTCCATCAGCAGATGATGCCCTCTCAGATCTCCATGCTTAGGAGATTTGCTTACGCTCTCTTGGGGTCAGCAAATCTAGCTCACAACATATTACTTATGTGGCATTAGTTTCCTAACAAGCTTTACAACTATCACCATGTGCAATGCAACATATACAAACAAAAAAGGCAATCTGCTAGTCCTAGCAAAGTAACACACATTTTTCCAATTATTGTCAGAAGTCAAGCCATCTATGACTCTCGAAATGACAGTTCATTTGACACCCATTCTGCCTCCACATCTTCATAAGCTATCCCTCGATCCATCCCAGCTTTTCCTTCTATTGATCTGTATACAATATGCAATAACTATTATGAGCTCATGCCCATTAAGGAAACATGCATGTAGTGCACATGAATCTATGCCTTTTTGGAACCCAATATGTACCAAATTTGTATAATATATTACTATAGCTAGATTTTCTTTCTCCTATTTTACTACATGATCTGGCGCAAATGCCCTATTACAGGTTTGTACGTTAATTATTCTTCTTCTTTTTTACATCTTTTAATGAAAAATCGGGTAGGAGGCCTTCTCCCCCACTAACTTACCCAAAAAAATATTACTATAGCTAGATGTTTTTCCTACTACAACTTTTATGCATGATAGATGTAACTTACATGCATGCTTACCTATATTGTAACTCCTATAAAGATATTTACACAAAAAAGAATCCCATAATGATACATGTGCATATATAGGGGACAGTGCCCCATGATTTATATAATCAGAAAGACATCTATATTTTACCCAATCATGTGCTTGAATATTTCTTTCTCTATTCTCTCTCAATCTTAACATGATATCAAATCAGGGCTTAAGACCCTAGGACATTTGTTTCCAAAAATCCTAGAATCATATTTTTCTTTCTTCTTGCGCTTAAAGTTGTGGTATATCAGCAATCTCATATTTCCAGAAAGATCATCTTGCTTTTTACCAACTATTTTTTCCAAAATCCTTTTCCTTTCAAGAAAACCCCAAACCTTTTTTTTTTTTAAGCTACACAAAAATCACACCAAATATACTGCATATCCTTCTCACCCAAATAAATCATGAACATATATTTTATACCCCTGTCACCCAAACAAACCAAAAGAAGGGGGTTTTTTCAAGCTCTGAAACTAAGGAACTAATACCTTAGGAAAAGACTAAAGGGTCTGAGTTTCAGAGAGAGAAAGAAAGTCTCACAATATTTCCTTGGGAAGTAGTCAACTGACCACCTAGGATTGACGATCATTACAGTTAAGCAAGATGGGACAAACTACATGGAATTGTCCCACTTTGCCAAAATGTTCATAGGAAGAAAGAGAAAATTGGGTTACATCACAAGAAAGGTGAAAAAGCCTCCCATAAATGATCCATCCCACGATAAATGGAAAACTCAGAATCTGACAATAATGGCATGACTTCTTCATTCCATGCAACCAAGTATCAATAGGAAATTGTAGTTCCTTAGAACTACAAGGCATACATGAGAGGCAGTAGCCAAGACATACTTAGAACAAGATGATCTAGCTAGGAATTACCAATTGCCTTGCGAAATGCAAATTCGCAACAATGGCAATGATTGTGGATGAGTACTTTGAGGTACAAAGGCATAAGTGGAAAGAACTAGACCACTATCAAGCTACCAATCCCCACATATCTTTGAGTCCATAGCAAGCCTACATCCTGAACATCAGAGAGCACAAGTCCTACAGAAGGACAAATTGCATTCTCTTGTTTTAGTCTATAACTATATGAAGAGGGAGGCTAGTAGAAAGGGTATTGCAGGGGGGAAAAGCTCAAGCATCCACCCTGAACAATCAGCCTTTGCAGCAAGTTTCTAGCAAGGCAAAATGGGTACAAAAGTACCAAATCGGCTCTTATTTTCACGTGCATAAAAGGAGAAATTCAAATACTCTCATTTTAGGAAGAGGAGACACACCTGAGAGCATTATTACGCCTTACAACTACCCTTGAAATTGAAGAAAAAGATTGCAAGTGCTAATCATCATCATCCAAGCCTTATCCCAATCATTTGAGGCCAGCTACATGAATCTTGTTCTTCCATTCTTCCCCATCAAGGGCCACACCCTCAGTAAGACCAAAACTCACTATATTTTTTTACTACTTCTATCCATGTGCTTTTGGGCCTTCCCTTTACCCTTTTTAGAGCCTTCCACTTCAACGAAATCATACCTCCTAGTCGGTGATGTATTAGGTCTACACTGCACATGGCCAGCCCACCTAAGTCTACTTTCTCTCATCTTATCGCCTATTAAAGCCACACCTAAGTTCCCTCATATGTATTCATTTTGAATTCTATCATTTTCTAGTCTTGCCACTCATCCATCTCAGCATCATCATCTCATCTATGCTAATCCTATAAATATGTTCTTTCTTGACCACCCAACATTCCGTTCCATAAAGAATGGTTGGTCTTACAACCACCCTATAGAACTTACCCTCCAGTCTCAATGGTATGTGGTGATCACATAAACTCCGGATGCACATCTCTACTTTGCCCACCCAACTCTAATTCTATGTGCAACATCTTCCTCAATCTCTCTATTCTCTTAGATTATTAACCCTAAATATCAAAAACAATCTCTTTTGGGTATTTCTTGACTATCAATCTTAACTACTTCCTCATTTCTACTCCAATTATTACTAAACTTGCATTCCATATATTATCTTAGTCCGACTAATTTTAAAAATTTTGGATTCTAGACTATCCATGCAATGTTCTAACTTTGCATTGACGCTGTCTCTAGGCTCATAAATTAAAACTATGTTATCCGCGAGCAAATATACACTACAGTACCTCATCTTGTAGTTGCTTGGTTAACTCGTCTATAATCAAACCAAAGATATATGGGCTCAGCACTGCCCCTGATGTATGCCCATTGTCACTAAGAACTCACTTATCTCTCCACGAGTGGTTTGTACACTAGTTAGCGCTCCCTCATACATACCTCTCACTATGTAAATATAGCCTCTGGTGGCTCCTTTCTTTTCCAACACCCACCAAATTAAACCTCTAGGTGTATGTTTTCTTTGAATCAATAAAGACCATGTGGAGGTCTTTTCCCTTTGCCCTAAACTTCTCAATTAGATGCTAAGTAGAAAATGGCTTTGATAGTAGACCTCCCTGACATAAAACCGAACTCATTTACAAGAATGTAAGTGCCAATATTTATCAAATGAGAGGAAAAAACTGCAGCTGCAAAGCCCATGTATGCGATCCAAGAGATTAGGCCATCAAAGATTTACAATGCCAGTTGATGCCTTAAGGCTTCACTCAGCTCTAAACCTCAGTACAGCAGCCAGGTACATATGCATTTGCAAACCATGTCTCCCAATCCACCTCTTGTACATCTTGGATCATTGATTCATCGATTACTGGTCATATGAACGGTGAGAAAGTAGTATTTTGTCATTTTCTTCTGTTTCCAGTGAAGTTAAACTTGTTTATGGATCCACGATCAGTGCCTTTTAGAATGGAAATATAAACTTTCATTGTCCTTGTTCTTACCCTTTATAATACATGTGCCTTCTTTTCCTTCCAACCTTCTCTCTGTTAGCAGCCTGAAAAAACAACTTAACTGCATTGAAAATTTTTCTTTCTGACATTGTGTTTTTCAGGACCTGAAAATGAGGAAGACGATTGGTGGTCGTGAAGATAATGGTTTGTATTTGTTTAAGACAGGATGCACTTCCACTACTCTCAACTTTGAGTCTTAAAGTTAAAGTTATTGTTCTACTTAAGTCTCTGATAACTTAAAGTTATTGTTCTACATAAGTTTGTTTCTTTGAATATTGCCTAAACAATTTAGAACCTCTTTTCTTCAAGTGAAATTTAAAGTTCTAAGCCATTCCATATTGTTCATTCTAATGTTTGAGGGCCAATTCAGGTTCTTTCAATATTTCGATATCAGTATTTCATCTCGTTTGTCGGTGACTACTCATATGGAACTATCTTATGAAAAGTAAAGATGAAGTGCCCTCAATAGTTAACACATTTCATAAAATAGTTCAGACCCAGTTTGAGACCCAAATCAAACTTTTCTTTCTGCTAATGCATTGGAGTATCTATACTATGGATCACAAAATTATTCTATTATGGTATAAAAACTCAAACATCATGTTCTTATACACTACAACAGAATGGCGTGGCAGAACAAAAAAATAGACACTTGTTAGAAGTTGTAAGAGCAATCTTAATAGGAATGAATGTTCCTAAGACATATTGGGAAGAAGCAGTTCTTACTACCGGTTATGTGTTTAGTAAGATGCTTAGACGTGTTTTCAATGGTGCTTACCCTTTCAAACTTCTCTATCCTGCACTTCCTCCTTTTTCTCCTCCGCCAAAAAACCTGTTGGTTATGTCTGCTTTGCGCATACCCTAGGGCCAGCTAGGAACAAATTAGGTCCCCAATCTACTTGATGTTTGCTCCAAAGATACTCGAACTCTCAGAAATCATAGAAATATTACTGTCTGGTAACTTAAAAGGAAATATGTCTCAAAAGATGTCACCTTCTCTAAGAATATACCCTATTTCTCTTTCCTGAAAGATTTGATATCCACTATGCCACCCAACAATCCTATCCCTCTTCTAGTGATCATAGAAGTATCGGTGATCCAACTAAGGAACAAGTGGAATCTACTGAGAAAGATTTGATTGTGTACACCCAAACAAAGAAGGGAAAATCTGATGAAATGATCAACCCCAACTTGTTGACTGATCAATCACTTTTTCTCTTTTTACAACTATTACTTCTCAACTTCATTTACCTATCGTTGTAAGAAGAAAAAAAAGGACTTGTGCTTCTCATTTGACCACTAAGTTTGATTCCTATGCTTCACTTTCACCCTACTTTCGTGAATATCTCTGCTCTACTTCCTCTGTTCCTATTCCCATCAAAGTTGCAGATGCACTAGCTTATCCACAATCGAAAACGGACACAATTGAGATGGATTCCAAGATTGTTCAGTGTCTGTATGTTAATTTAAATTGCCGTCATGCCCAAAGTAGAAACATCCGCTAGAAAGCTGATCAGATATAATAGCATGATTGAGCATCAACTCCCCCAAAACAAAATTTCCTTTTCCATGAATCCCTTTGCATTTTGTTTCCTTGTTTACCCCCATATAAGAGAGATTTTATTAGAAAAAAAAACTCAAAATTCTCAAAATTATTTTGAAATGGTTTAAACAATTAAAGTGATGGGACAGGTGAGTTACCAACTTATGCTACTAGTTTCTAGTTACATGCTATTAAATAGGATCAGTTTTTCTAGAAACTTTTTTTAATTTTAGGCTAGGGTAATACATTAATTAAAGGGAAAAGTTTATATAAGGTTGCAACCTTAAAATGTAGAATCACAGATGCACCTCAAAAATTCATCGAAAATGTTTTTTTAATGTTGAAAAAGCCCTCTAATCAATCCTCTCGACATCGAGATATATGAATATGAAAAAAAAAGGTTTTTGAATCACAGAAATAGTACATCTTGCAACACATTATCTAGACCGTCCATTTTCAAGATTTTCATATATTTATAGACCTACCAGATTTTAACCATTTTTGAAATTTAAAATTTTCTAATTAGTTATGAAAATAGATATTAAGATAATACTAAGAATTTTTTACAACAAAATTACATATTATGATAAAATTTTAAGGTGAGCTTTAATTGGATTGTTTAAGGTTGCAAACTTATAGAAACCGCAACCTTATTTAAAATTAAGGAAATGGCAATATTTAAAATGGACAGACAGACAAAGCATCTCTAGGTAGAATTAATTTGGGTACAAAATCTGATGGGACGAGAGAGATCATATTGGGTTATGGAAGAATTAGGTCTATAGAGGGGTGATGAGAGAAGGGTATTAGGTTTCTATCTCGATAGGATTTAGTAAAGAAGAGGAATATTGGAAAATTCCCTGAAGATTTCGAGGACAATTTTGACTCCAACACACCACCACCCTCTAAATCCACATTTAGTACTATATTATTGATTTTTCTTATTACACTTTCTTAGTATGCTTAACCATTTATAGAGATGATGCCTACTATGCAGAATCACTTCTCATTCATTCAAAAGAAATAAAAGAAACACTTCTTTCATGTTTATAGCATAATCACAAACCTAATATTAAGAATCGTGGAATTATTGAAAGGAGAACCAAACAAACAGGACAACTGAGCACATCAAGAAATTTGGAACTTCATGATTGACAAATACCGTAAAGTTCAAATACTTTGTGCATTGTAAATAAGAACCAGAAATCGCAAGAGAGTAAGCTGTTCACAAAAACCTTACCAGAAACTGAACCCCACTGACCCTCCAGACTGTCAGTTTGGCTTGTTGAATCCAGAGAAACATCCTTAGAGAGACTTGGGGCAGTGACCTCTGCTTCACCTGCCACTGGACCACTAGAATCTTTAACCATGGCCGCTGCTGAAGAATTCTGTCCCTCGCGAGATACTTGTGCATGAGTCCCAGCTAAGCCAACTCTATCACTTTCAGTAGCTTTTCCCTCAACCGCCAAAGTAACAGAGCAGACTGGATTGTTCACTGCAATTACTTCTGAATGAGATTCTTGTGAGGCTTTCTTGGATATTTCAGAAAGTTCCTTTGTAGAAGAAATTGATTCTCCATTATCCAGACGAGGGCCCACCATTAGATCCACTGCACTTGAATCAGAAACTGCGTCCTCAGGATTCCTTTCCGTACTCACATTCACCTTATCTGAAACACTGGCGGAGGATTCAAGCCCATCAACTGCTACAGAATTTCCAGAGACATTGTACTTCTCTCCCAGAGGAGATATTGCACTCAGAATAGATTCTGCACTAGTAATTTTTGAATGGGTTTCAAGCCCATCATCTACTTCAGAATCTAAATCCTTAGAGAGACTTGGGGCAGTGACCTCTGCATCATCTACATCCTTAGAGAGACTTGGGGCAGTGACCTCTGCATCATCTACATCCTTAGACAGACTTGGGGCAGTGACCTCTGTTTCATCTGCCACTGGACCACTAGAATCTGTAACCATGGCTGCTGCTGAAGATTTCTGTCCCTCGCGAGATATTTGTGCATGAGTCCCAGCTAAGCCAACGCTATCACTTTCAGTAGCTTTTCCCTCAACTGCCAAAGTAACAGAAAAGACTGGATCATTCACTGCAATTACTTCTGAATGAGATTCCTGTGAGGTTTTCCTGGAAATTTCCTCTTCAGAAAGTTCCTTTGTAGAAGAAAATGATGCTCCACTATCCAGACAAGGGACCTCCATTAGATCCACTGCACTTGGATCAGCAACTGCGACCTCGGGATTCCTTCCCGTACTCACATTCACCTCATCTGAAACACTGGTAGAGGATTCAAGCCCATCAACTGCTACAGCATTTCGAGAGACATTGTCCTTCTCTCCAAGAGGAGATATTGCACTCAGAATAGATTCTGCACTAGTGACTTTTGAATGGGTGTCAAGCCCATCATCTACTTCAGAATCTAAAAGAGCTTTGTCTCTAGCTTGAATGCTATTGCTTTCACAAATCTTAGCACTCTGATCAAGTGTTGACTCCTTGTCTGTTTGAAGAATTTCTCCTTGGTCTCCACTGGATGAAGTAGAACCTTCATTGCTTTCATCAGCTTCTTTCCCCTTGGCCCCACCATGGCCTTGATCAAGGCTCTCCATGAATTTATTACCTTGACTCAAAGACTGGTGTGACCCCTTCTCATGGGTAGAAGAAATCACTTCAGCCATTTCTGCATCAGGTGAACCTCTAAGATGGTCTCCAGTCTTCGTTATTGTTTCAGCACCAGAAACTAAGAGGCCCTCCAGTTCCTCTGACTTCTTTTCATCTACTTGGGCTACCACAGAGCCAGAATCAGAATCTAGAGATGGCTTATCAAGAGCATCGGAGTTCTTTTCCTCTGGGGAACTGGATATTGAATCCTTTGAATCCGTTACCTCAGACGACCCATAAACTTCACAACTGTTAGAATTTATCTCATATGCATGTTTCTCTGCCAATATTTCCATTGCTGATAAATTTCTAACTGAATCACTTTCGACGTAGGAATCAATTGTTGCTGCAACACCTATGCTTTCCATCACATTCCCATCCATATCAGTACTTTCAGTCAAAGGTGCACTTCCCACATCCAAAATTTTTGATGGACAATTGGGGGAAATACGACTGTTTTCCGCTGCCTCGGCTACAGGTGACTCGTCCCTTTGCTCTGGGAAAGAATCTTCAAAGGAATCCAACTGTTCCGTTTTGCTTTCTGAGGCATCAGGCTTTTGTGATAGGTTATTATGGATTGATTCATTTTGCCCCAAAGGAACATCTGCATATGTGGATGTCATAATCAGATGAGTAACTTCTGGCCATAAGAAATCAACAAATATGACTAGAACAAACAATTTCAGACTTTTGAGTGCCTGAAGACTTCAAAGTGGCATAGAAAACTCGTAAACATACACAGGGATACTGACATAGAAAACTCAAATTGGCTTCCTAAATTCTCCAAAAAGAAAATGATCTTTAAGCCTTTTCCTTAAGTAAGTAGGTCTACAGGTGTGCATTTATATCCCTTGGCACTGGACTGGTTCCATTGAATTAGAATTTCCAATTCTTTAGGTATTGAAAACTTAGGTGGAATTTATATGTTTTTTAAGGTTTGGAGGGGTAAGCCATTATTAGGGGATGAAACCACACTCAAATCTCAGAGACATCTTTAGCCCTCTAGAAACATTTCACAACAACAGGTATTTGCAGTAAGACTGAAATTTATTTATCGAAAAATGATGAATTTTATTATAGTTTCTAGGGTACTTCATTTGTGTGAAACCCAGGCGTAGCTTTGGAGTTTGCTAATGCTATTTAGGATTTCTGCCAAGTTTATCGCATCCATCAGATCCTTTAGCATAGAGGTATCAATTGCCTTTGCTTAGATTTTCCCAAATTTGAAATCATGGTTTTCGTACATTACATGTAAAGTTTAAGTTATAGGGTCTCATCTCTTCATTACATGGTGTTTCTTGGGGAAGTTATTCTACAAACTTTCAGCTGCACTGGATCAGTAATGTCAAAGATCCTTCACTATTGGTTTCTTAAATACTTAGAGACCCACTTAAAACTTCAGAAAGGAACAATGTAGCACTAAAAGTTTAGATCAACCCAACGTTTGATGTAAACGATGGCAGAATTTATTCCAGCATGTTATAAAGTTTTAGGGTAATGGTTATTGCTTGTCGTGATGATATGGACCTGCTTGGCATTTCAAAAAGCAAATAATTATTACTAAAAGTCCATTTCCCCATGTCAATTTTTTAAGTAAGAAGGTCCAACACAATGTCATTAATGCATCTCATGAAACAAATCAGATGCTTGGAACTTTCGATGGAACAAATGATATTTCCAAAGGTGCTATGTAATTATGCTCAAACCAGGACTCCATAGGTCATAGAATATCCAAAACATGGATCATAAGACTTAATTCCTCAAGTTGTTCAGAAACGAAAGTTAATCCAAAGGATCAACATTATTTCTCGACAGAGTAAGAAATATTGAGGATATCATGAAGTTCTGATACCAAACTAATTTTTCACAAAATTAGAGTAAAATATTCTGTCCACTACTGTGTGCTATCACAACCAGAACTTAACTACAATCAGGGTCAAAGATTAGAAGGTCAAAAATACACACGAGGAAAAAATGGCTCCACCAGCACAAATATATTGAGTTACCCATATTTACACCAAACCATATTCATACCTCATTAAGTTAAGCATGACAACACAATGTGCTTGGTCACTCAGCACTCTGATCAGGTGAAAGAACTCAATTTTGGTTCCTTAACTTTTGTCTTGAGCCATCAAAGAGGCCATACAAGTCTTGAAAGTGCAAAATAAACAACAAAGTAGCTTTCCATAGTGACTAGAATTTTATATCCCCAAGTTACCCATCCCGACCCATTCCTCATTTTTATTCACAGAAGCCAACACTCAGATAAAACGTAAAGAACTTATTCAGTTGCTTACTTGCCTCTTGAGCAATCAAGGCCGCTCTACAGTAATCACATATGCAAAATGGACCACATGATAGATTTTCCCCATCACTAATTTTGAATATCCCCTCAGTAATCCATCCCAAATTCCGAATCAATTCCTCCTGTTTCTTTGCAGGATCTCTGCCAAATGCTTGTTCCCACTTATGAAGACTCTCATCTATATGCATTCTTCCATACTTCTGAAAAAATGGCAGGCAACTAACCCAACTACAATTTTGGACTTAACCCCCAAGTCCCGCCAAAAACTTCTAAGAATTTGTCAACCGGAATTTCATGTAATCGCCGCACACTAATGAAGTTGAAGGGCGAGTTCTATAGGACAGCTGTGAGATCAGCTTTGCTCGATGGGGAGTAATGTTGGGCGGGCAAAAAAAAATATACCCATAGAATGAGTGTAGCGGAGATGAGTATGTTGAGATGGATGAGTGGCAAGACAAGAAGGGATAGAATTCGAAATGAATCCATTCGGAAAAAATTAGGTGTGGTCACCAATAGGCAATAAGATGAGAGAGGGTAGACTTAGGTGGGCTGGCCACATGTGGCGCAAACCCAATAAAGGAGGTACAAGTTAGTTCAAGTGGAGGGCTCCAAAAGGGCTAGGGGTAAGCCCAAAAGGACATGGTTGGAAGTAGTTATAAAAGATATGGGGAGTTATGGCCTCATTGAGGGTATGGCCCTTAATAGAGCAAAATGGCATACCAGAATTCATGTAGCGGACCCCATTAATTGGGAAAAGGCTCTGACGACAACAACAACGACGATTTATTTTTTATTAGTAACTATCCCAAAAGCTTAGAACACAAACTCAAGTCATGTTATGAAATACATAACAGTAAGCCGCCATACCTCATCAGCAAACCTACAAGGAAGTACTTACAAATTGATTCTTTTTCTTCATAATCCACACCAACCAGGGTATTGGAACACCAATAGTATCATATTCCTATAATAGTAGCTTTAGAATCTGTATCTCAATAACAAGTGAGTACCCATAAAGGTGAGGAACTCTCAACATCAGAGTAACCATGCAATGCATCAATTCAAATCCTGGGTCTTGCTCCATCTCTAATAATTCCTAGTAACCCTTTTAGCAATCCACAATAAGCACAAATCAGCCTCCACATACATGATACCAGTTCTTCTAACTCCACTGGTGATCACAAATTGCTTCCATCTACCCATACTTCAGCACCATCTCCCAATAACCAATGCATTCCATTGCAACACTTCACCCTACCATACTTATCTGTAGAAAAGTGTGGGTCTCTAAAGGGCCAAACTCTCCAAGCCTGCCAACAAACATCAACCTGTTGACTTATCATAAAAAAGAAAGAATTAAACAAAAAGAAGCATCAACACAATTAACCAAATGAATATTTCATATCTCCCCCTTGCCTCTCAAAATGGATCTCGTGTGCGTTCTCATGATGGGATTCTATAAGGACACCGCCCAAAAGTTAAAGTAATAGCAACTTCGCCTGAATTGGAATGTTGTCCAAGCTAAAGAACGGGATTGAACTTTCCACTTAAGAGGCTTAGCTGCACCCATCACCACCAGTACATCCCAAATATGTGCACTACAGAAAGATCAAAGCGAATAACTGGTAAGAAAATCACATTGAACCCCTATCAAGCCTGCTTCCCACATCCAGGAGACCAAGACCCCAATTTCACCCGTATAACATCGCTCAACAGCCTGTCTAAAGGCACAAGCACATGACCTGGGGTGGGGTGTGTAACTTTTCATACCAATGAATCACGCAAAACCAACAAAATAAAATAATAGTGTTGTTCACACTTCCTAACTTCATATGTAGGTGCTTCACCTATTTTGACTCACCAACCCTAACTAGAACCATTAAGTTGGTAGAGTTCCCACTTCAAAGTTAAAACCAACAGATCAAACAAAAAGAAAAAATTCATCTCAGCACCCACAAGCCCACTTTACCCAGATGCACCCAACCCCGTTCTATTACCATGTATAGTGGAGATTTCCAGTCAAAATCAAGTTATGAATATTTCCAAGTAAACCTGTTGATCAGAATGTATTAAACTCCAAAGATATCAGCATAAATGTTTCCACAATGTCTAACACCTGCAGGAAACGCATTCTATTTAGTATAAAATATATAACTTCTGAAGGGAAGCCATTACATTGAATGAGTAGAAGTATACTCATCTTCTGCAAGCCACACCCATTATTAGTCACTTGGCAATACAAGCACTAGAGCCACTTACAGAATTAGATCAATGTATGAAAGTTGGCAATAATAAGATTTCTTCACAGGAGGATGATTTTAGAAAGTCAAAGTAATGAATAGATGACTAAGGACCAGCGTTTCTAGGGAGAAAACCAGTTTCATGGGTTGTAATGCAAGACATTAGCTGAGCCATGAAGCAAAAACTCATTCTTATAGAATTCTTCCGTGTGCTGATTTGTTTCAGATACCAGCAATTCAAATTCATGACGGCGCATGACTAGAGCTCCAAAATAAAGTTCAAACATAGAATGGCTGATATAGTAGATGATAAAAATATCAAAGGACAAATCAGCAAAACTTACGAATACTGTGAGCTTCCACAACATGGCTTTCCTCAAAATGCAAGGTCCGTGGTTCGCTATCCCCTAAGACCTTCACTTGGCGATGATCTGATTCCAAGATACACGCAAGACCACTCATACTTGGAATTGCACCTATACCACTTGCATTATGGTCCATTTCCACTTGCTCTGATGCTCCAATTGAATCCAAAGGATCCTTAGGATCATCTTCAGAGCTTAAAAGCAATTCCCTTATTTCACCCTTATCAGAAGCAACAGTCTCATTCTTTATTTCCGTCCCATTTGTTTTGGAAGTAGATTCTTCACAATGTTGCATAGTTTCATCTGGAGGAAATAGACCACCAGAATTTACCATTTTATCCGTTATCAACGGTGACGATTCTGAAACAACACCGGAATCATGGCCGAGTGATTCCATTACTGAACCATGTTCAGACCCAACAGCAGAAGATGTTGCAGGCACCAAACTAGTAACGGTACGTGTAAATTCAGCAACTGCATCAGTGGACTCCTCTTCTTCAGTTTTGTTTATTCCTTCTCTTTTGACTTCACTGTTAACATCTTTCTCATTGCTTAATCCTTCTGAACCAGCATCTTTTAAATCCTTGAGATCATCCGATAAACTTGCGGCTGCTGCAGGTTTTGGGGCTTCTGAGACAGAATTCATTGATGAGAACAAAAATCAATCGAAAGATCCAATGAAGATAGAGAAAAATACAGAAAGAAATTCTTCTCAAATTCAAGAAATCTCAAATGGGGGAGTAAGCAAATGAGAGAATATGGCGGCATCTTACCTTGGGGTTCATGATCTTCATCAGAAGCCTCTTTGTCAGAGAGATTGGTGTGTGATTTGTCATCAGAGTCGATCAATTTGAAACCTTCAATTTTTCCACAATGCTTCTTGTGATTTCTTCTGTGCTTTGCACTTGGGTGTGGGTTTGGGTATGTCCACCCACATTTGTGGCACACCCAAATATCATTTTTATCTTGCCCTGCATCAACAAAATAATCTAATCTGGCTGAACAAGAAAACAAGAGAGAAAACCAAAAAGGCACTACTTTACATCCACATAGCAAGTAATTCAGTGAAAAACCAAGAACAAAAACCCAAAAAAGAATCCAACTTTACATAAACAATGAACATAATTGAGCAGAGAAAAGAAAGCCTCCAACTTTACAAATAAAGATTCCAAATCAGATAGAAAAGAGACCCCACTGCAAAAAAAAAAGAAGAAAACATACAAAAAAAGAAAAGAAAACAACACTATGAAAATTAAATCACTATAAACACTAGGATTAATCAATTTTATCCGGATAAAATAAAGGGAAGAAAAAGGAATGATGAATCAGAACAATGAAAAATCCCCAAAAATAAAAATCAAACAAAAAGTACCAGGTGGGTGGTGATAGCTAGTCTTGTGCTTGTTAGCCTCCATGTCTATCTCCACCTGAAAACTAAAAACACCACTTCTTTCCTCAAACTTCCTCAACAAACCAAATTCCTCAAGAATCTGCAACAAGACCCAAAATCTCCCCAAAAAATAAAAGCACACTATCCAAGAAGAGAGAGCAAGAGACTGTCGGTTGTGGCTTTTACCTCCAACACTCTAAGGATTAATGGGTTCTAGGGTCATGGAGTAGGAATCCAAGACGTGTCCTAGAGAGAGAGAGAGAGAGGCATGTGCAGCGGAGCTGTAGAGAGAGAGAGTGGAGTAGGGGGGCATGTGCTGTAGTGGGCCCAGTGTGGTTTGACAAAAGAGCAGGAGAAACCACTTCGCCACCATCCCCCATCAACAAACAAACAAAGAAACACATGCATTTTATCCATCATTTTAATCAAATAGCGTGTAAATTCCAACACCATGACACCTAACGCCACTAAAAAGGCAGAGAAAGGACACTTAAAAAATCTAACTCAATAGATTATTTTTTTTTTTTCTTTTTTTTTTTTAACGGAGAAAGCTTATATAGCGCTAAAGCTCAAATTACAAATCACCTCAAAAATTTCAATAGAAGAGGTTGTTTTGATGCTCAAATATGCTCAAATTGATCATCTTGATATCAAAATACATGAACACAAGAAAAAATGGATTTCAAGTTTTGAAAATAAATAGTCCATATATTGTTGGATGGTCAATTTTCAAATTTTTTAGATCTCTTTGATTTACACTATTTTTTAAGCTTTAAATTTTATAATTAAAAATAAAAATATATTTTAAAGCTATCAATTCTCGACAATATATGAAAATGCGCGTTATTTTGATTGTTTAGAGGCTCGATTCTATACAAATCGCACCCTTTGTTAATGGTAATAATTCACTAAAAAAAATGTAACTAAATAAATTATTATTTTAATGGTAATAATTCAATAATAAATTTTTGTAAATTTGGAAGATTTTCCTTGTAAATTTCAAAGTTCTTTGATGACCGGACACAACGGCGAGCCCCCTCCATTTACTTCTCCCAGCGTTCTTCTTGCCTTCTCAATCACCATGTTTTATTTGTGAGGAAATAAATAACAAACACCTGAAGTGCATGGTATACAATACACATAATGACCTTCGTTTTTACTATATCACCTTAAGAAGGGACAATAGATAAGGGAAATCATTTTCTTAAGATGGACGGTTGGATTACCTAAAAATTTTGTTCATCTCCACCGTTTATCTTGGAAGAGGAAGCTGGATGAGTGCCCCCTACTGCCTTTTTTTTTTTGGTAATTCACTGATGACAAGCCCTTGCCTGTTTTTCAAAATCGTTTGTGATTTTTTAATGTGTTAGATGAGAATGAAAGCTTAGACTTTAATTGTAGCTCAAGTGGTACTATCACCATGACCCCAACTTCATTCTCATGCCTACTACTGCTTTCTGTAACATTAACTACCATGAGTGAGTTAGGATCCGATAAGTGATGATGATGATGAGGAAGAGGAGTTAGGATCGGCAAATTGGAAATCCACAAAAGGGCGAGAATCTAATGCTACTAAATAGTTATTATGCCCGTACAAGTATTCATCTCCACCGTCCATTGCGGGTACTGAGGGTTGATGCATGCATGCAGATTGTACACAAGGGACCTCACATGTATACTATAATTTTGTCTTTTAGCAAAAAGAGAATTTTTCTCCTTAATTAATTGAGAATAGTCTTGGACTACGAGTAACAGCGTAGCCACATTGGCCAGCCCAAGCATTCTCAAGTCTCAAGTTGGGTGTCCAACTCGGGGATCTTAAAAAAATTCAAAAACATTTGTAAAAAATCTAAAAATCAAAATTTTAATTCTAATATTTTTGATGTTTTTTATCATTTTGTTGGCTACAAATACTTATTGTTACATTTTATCTTCTTTTTGGATTATTTCTAAAATATCCTAATCGCAAATTGATTTATTTCAAAATTAATTATTTTGCTATTTTGTTAACCTCATTTGTGTTTTGTTTAATTTTACTTTGAACTTATTTCTTTATGTTTTGGATTTTCTATGTACCTCTTTTTTTTAATATTTTTTATTACGAGTTACTCGGACTCGGGACGAGTACTCAGCTCGGAGCCTAGGCCGAGCAGCCAATTCGAATCGCTCTTTCTAATACCCACTAAAAATGGGGTTGAAGCATCGATTGTTGGGGTAGCTGATGTCTCAACATGTAACGTTCCTCCACCGTTCCCACGAGATATGACCTTTTCTCTACTTATCAAAGACGGACTACTTATTAATTGACAGCTTTTACTTTCCACGGGGCGGCGTCTCTTTCCGTACGGAAAATGGGAAAAGTACGAGGTGAGGGCCGTCTACTTTCCTACACGAAGTGGGAAATCGTCGGCCCTCTCACGAGCAGGGGTAGGAGTGAGTCAGCTTGCATCGGGGTTTAAGTTAGACCCAAACTCAAAGTGTGAATCCGATTCCGGTGTAGGTTAATGGGGACCAGACCCAACGCACTTAGTCAGGCTGGTTTGGGTCTATAAATAAAAAAATATCAAAATCATTTTAGATATTTTATACTATACAGTTAATATTATTTATGTGCAAATTACATTAATATATTTGAGTCTGTTTGGCATCGACCCAGACCCAGACCCACCCCGGCCTGATAAGATTAATATCGGACTTGGACCCAGATCAAGTTGGGTCAAGGACAAGTGGATGCATACCCAACCTGAGCCTGATCGGGTCAAGGATTGCTTATTTTTCATAACACACTCTCTCTCTCTCTTATGCCTCTAAATCTCAACAACAAGAAAAAAACAATCAAAAGGAATAGAGAGAACCCTTCCCCCTTGAGATTCTCTTTAAGCTTCTAGCCACACGTTATTATATAAGAACACGGTTTCTATGATTCCATGTAGAAATGAGTCACTTTTTTAGAATCTATTTGTGAGAAGGATTTTTTTACTTAATTTTTAAGGATGTGTAATTTCTAACATGGAGATCATAAATATGAATAAATAAATAAATTTTGACAATTAGAAATCAAAGTTCTATTAAGAAAACATTTCGACCGTTAGTTTCATAATTGTTTTTAGATGGACCACCTATTTGCGTTCATCTTTAAGATGGATGCTTTATACCTTGGAACCGCATATTGTACAAATACGGACTAGCACGCATGAAACAATTTTCCATTATATAACAGTACATTATATTAAAAATTATGTCATATAGTGTATAAAAAATAATAAAAGTTTATATAAGTGCAAGGCTCTAAACAATCAAATCATGGCACACCTAAAAATTTTTACTAGAAGAGGTTATTTTGATGCTCAAATGTCCTCAAATTGATCATCTCGAGCTCAAGATTCATGGACATGAGAAAAAAATAGATTTCAAGTTTTGGAAATAGTGCATCTTGTAATGCAATTTTGGACCATCTATTTTCAAGATTTTCAAGTTTTCATAGATCTACTCGATCTACATTATTTTTTAAGCTTTAAATTATATAATTAGAGGTGAAAATATATTTTAAGGCTAACGCAAAGATTTCCAGTATTGAAACCATATTTCTTGATACTATTTGAAGGTGTGCTCTACTTTGATTGTTTAGAGCCTTGGCTTTATACAAACCGCACCTTAAAACATATAATAAAATATTAGTAGATTATATAATATCAATATTACTATAATAAAATAAATATTACATCTAAAAAATTGGGTCGGGTCAGTTTGAGTCAGGTCGGGTCGACCTATACCCAGACCTGACCCACTTGATGTCAAGTCCCTAGTTCTGAACTCAGGCCTGACCCATCGGGTTCAGAAATAAGACCCAGAATGAAACCCAGGCCTAAGTTGGGTCAACTCGTTGTGTTGGCGACTCGACCCGGCCCGTTGCCCACCCCTACTCATGTGTTTGCCCTCATTTTTTGGTGATTTAAAACAGAAACGCTTCCCAAAGTCATCCATAAATATGGAGCTTCAAATATAATGTTATTTTCTGAAACATTATGTAAATACCATTATATCTATCATTATTACAAAAATACCTTTAAGTTTCCATTATTACACATATATCCATTTTTCAACTTCATAACACTTTTTTTTAAAAAAAAGACAGAATTGCCCATTTTCAAGTTTTTAAAAACCGAAAATCTTAAATTTTTAGTTTTTCAACAATCGAAAATCTCATGTTTTCAATTTTTAAAAAACCGAAAGCTCAGTTTCAATTTCCAGTAAGTTACTGGAAATTAACCGTGTTTTTTAGTTTTTCAAAAATGGAAAATATTAATTTTTTGATTTTTCAAAAACTGAAAATCTCAAATTCTCGATTTTTCAAAAATTGAAAACTCAGTTTCAACATGTTTTAGACAGAATGGCCGGTCATTGTAATTGGTTAAGTTGTTATATGCTAACAGGGCATTCGTTGCCATTTTGTACATTTCTCACCACTCATACTGCCATGTGAATGTGGACTGGAAGATTGGTTGGGTTGGAGTCTATAAGAATTTGGATTGTAAGTCAACACCAAAAGATATAGTTAATAATTCAATGAAACATCATGTACCTCTCTGTGATGGTTTAAAGTTAAATTATAGCAAGGGGAAAAAAGAAGAAAACAATTTAAATTTACATGCTTATATAACTGTGAAATATGTCACGTAAACCCTAAATTGACATTATATACTCAACTGTGAAACCCTAAATCAAAGTCTTATACAATCTAAGTTTCTAAAATCGACTCACAAATTAATATTTATCATGTATGTCCTTCACTACAGATTTGAAATCCATCAAATGCCATCAAAATCCTTTAAATATAATCCAAGCTTTAAATGGGATCTCTTGTGAGAGAGGTGAAAGAGAAAGGCACAAAAATGGAGAGACGAGAACCAAAAAAATTGTAGAGACGAGAGAGAAACAAGGGAAATTACATTTTCGTTTTTTTTTTTTTAAGTGTTATGGACATGAAAAAATGGATATAAGTGTAATAATGGAAACTTATAGTATTATAATGGTAAATATAATGGATTTTTACAAAAAACAATCCCTCATTTTTAAACACGAATGGTCTAAAAAAAATGCAAAATAGACAATTTTTAAGACTTAACAAGTTATTTACTTATTTAGGTTCACGATTGTGATGTTTGAGATGATAGACGTTGAAATTTTTGCATATTTACTTTCTTCAGGAACCCTCACTTCAAAATTAGGAATCCCAAATACCGTAGTCCCATCCAAGATTGTGTACATATTTGCATAAATGCGAAATAAATTAATACAAATATAAATCAAGCACAAGAAATAAAGCAAAACCAAATCACACCACAATGATACACGGTTTACATGGTTCAACC